CATGCCCACTTGGCCCATAAATAAACCATGCAGGACCCATATATGTGTTCCCAGTTCAAGCCCATGCCCACTTGGCCCATAAATGTACCATGCAGGACCCATATATGTGTTCCCAGTTCAAACCCATTCCCACTTGGCCCATAAAAATTATATGCAGGACCCATATATATGTTCCCAGTTCAAACCCATGCCCACTTAGCCCATAAAAATTATATGCAGGACCCATATATGTGTTCCCAGTTCAAACCCATGCCCACTTGGCCCATAAAAATTATATGCAGGACCCATATATGTGTTCCCAGTTCAAACCCATGCCCACTTAGCCCATAAATGTACCACGCAGGACCCATATATGTGTTCCCAGTTCAAACCCATGCCCACTTGGCCCATAAATGTACCATGCAGGACCCATATATATGTTCCCAGTTCAAACCCATGCCCACTTAGCCCATAAAAATTATATGCAGGACCCATATATGTGTTCCCAGTTCAAACCCATGCCCACTTGGCCCATAAATGTACCACGCAGGACCCATATATGTGTTCCCAGTTCAAACCCATGCCCACTTAGCCCATAAAAATTTTATGCAGGACCCATATATGTGTTCCCAGTTCAAACCCATGCCCACTTGGCCAATAAAAATTATATGTAGGACCCATATATGTGTTCCCAGTTCAAACCCATTCCCACTTGGCCCATAAATAAACCATGCAGGACCCATATATGTGTTCTCAGTCCAAACCCATGCCCACTTGGCCCATGTCTGTCCCTTATGGGGCCCATATAATTAGCTCATATGGGGTTCCTATGTGGGACTCATACTACAAAACCTACACGGGACCCGCTGATTTCACCCAGCCAAAGCCCATGCCCACACAGTAACCATAGAACCCCGACTTAACCCATCTGGGCCCCACATGTCATTGCTGGCTGGGAAGAAGAAGTGACATTTAACGAAGCAGCCCCCGTCGCATGTTTGACCGACATGTACGAAATTTCTGTGGTACATCTAACATGTCCAGACGCACAGAAAAGTCTCTTGGAGCGATGCCCTAAACTCAACAGGAAGTCAGCCATTTCTAATTTTACCGCCATTTTTGGATGATTTACTCACTCCGTACTTTAACGAACTCCTCCTAGGGCTTTAGTCGGATCGACGTCACATTTCTGATGTGCCTTCTAAAGGCATTGACGATGTAAAGTTGTGCTATCTGTGCGTTTTCGTCGATGGGCGTGTCCGTGGCGTCAAAGATTCGCCATGAAACAGGAAGTTGTAGTAACTTGGCTGTAAATGCCCAGATCTGCACGAAATTTAACACATTTGACAAGAGTCCCGCGTTGAACAAATCTACATGCCGACATTCACCCACAGTCATAGTGCCACCTGCTGGCAACAGGAAGTGACCTTTAACGAAGCAGCGTAGCAAATGCACAGCCGCACTGGCTGAGCTGCAGAATATGCAACGCAGCCGCCTCACACCCCGACGCGCTACAGGTGCGAGGGCCCGCCCATCGCTGCTTGCAGCTTTAATATACATTGGAACGTTGTTGCTGTTCATGGTCAGGGACTATTTTTTTCTAGTGGAAGGAAGGCTTTTAGTGATTTTACTTAATGAAAGTTGCACTGATAATTATTTTTGTATTTTTTTACTTTAATATTTGTATTGTGTGGTAACCGTTTTATAAAAGCAATAAAGTACTTGAGGCAAGTGTTGTATCGTGAATAAGTTACGGCTGAAGGGGTATCTCCACTTCGCATCCTGCCTAACAATGCCCTTCTGCCGTTATTTATTCACGATACAGCACTTGCCTCGAGTACCTTATTGCTTACATAAAATTCCAGATGTATTTAGTTAGTTTGGTCTTTCCTACTGTTCAGTGACTGTCTATCATTTGGCACATGGGAGATGTGGTGGCCATTAAAATTGAGTTTGCTTCTCCAATTGGTTGATCGGTTTTGCATGTGGCATTTTGACGAGCATATTCTTTTTTAGAATACAATTTAAAATTTGCTTTTAAAATTCTATATTAAGGTACTGCATTATTGTTTTATATTTGAAATTTTGTTCCATTTATTTATTGCTTCTACATATTAAAATGACAAAAATTTAACTAAATATTTATATTTTTCAGTTTATAATGATTTAATTGATTATTTTATCATTTTATTTATCTACATTTTGAAATATGAATTGAATATATCTATTTTTTCCATTTTAAAAATGATTAATTAATTATTAAATGGATAACTTACTCCTTATACATTTCATTCAAGCATCCCTCCTCCATACAATTTTGCCTTTTTTTCTGTAGTGATCTATATAATGCCACAGATGCTGTTGGTTGAGCTTAATATATGTACTGAACAATATGTTTTTTTTTTGTTTTTTTTAAATGTCAGAAAATATTTTGATTGTATTGCTTACTTGTTACAAATAGTGGGTCCATCATCCTGTTCAACAGAAGCAGATGTTTATATCGTCTCTTATTTTCCCGTAGCCCGACGTCAGATGGAGCAGGAGCTGCTGTGGTGGCCAGTGAGAGGTTTGTGAGGAAGAACGGATTGGAGAAAAAGGCTGTAGAGATCCTCGCTCAGGAAATGATCACAGACCTCACCACTACCTTTGAGGAAAACAGCTGTATAAAAATAGTAAGAGTAGCTGATACTGGAATTATGTTGACGTCAGAAATAAACTGAAGAATTGGGATCTCACCTTAGAGCCCAGTGACTTTTGAGTGATAACAAAACACGATCGCTGCAAACCAATTTTGGGGTTCAACACATTCGAATATGCGTTTCCACGTACCCATCTCGAACGGGAGCTTGTGCAGTAGCCTTGCGTCATTCGCTTGTAGGACTGTTATCTCCACACGAAGGACAGGGATATCTTTGTCCATAACTGAGGTAAAGCGTACGCCAGTCTGATTGTTCCAGTGAGCCAGCGAAACCTGCTAAAGAGCTCTAGCCAGGCCCCGTGTATTAACCGAAGTAGTTCTGCTGGGCAGAGAGACTAGATCGGGATATAGCAGAGGGGACTCCAGTCTCGGGTCAGCGCCACGATGGTCATTTTCCCACATTGGGTACATGACTCATCCAGGAACGCCACCTCAGCGCGCTTACGGCACAGACACGTGAGGCTGGTCTCACGCTGCAATGTTCATTGGCTTCTTTTGTTACCATTTAAAGGTGATTGGGGCTCTCTGACGTAACGTTGAACGTGAGACGACTATATCTCTAATGTAATGTGTTTTTCCCGTCTGTCCACTAAAGGTTGGCTATGACATGACCCAGCTTGCTGCTAAGAAGTGCTTTGAGAAGTCCGGTCTGAAAGCGTCAGATGTTGATGTCATCGAGCTGCATGACTGCTTCTCTGCCAATGAGCTCATCACCTATGAAGCTCTGGGACTGTGTCCAGAGGGTGAGATGGGCGGCTTCACGAGCACACTTTTCTTGCACGTATTTTTGAAAACAGAAGTTTAGATTAGCAGCGTGTTTGTGATTTGCAGGTAAAGCTGGTGAGCTTATTGACCGGGGTGATAATACATACGGTGGCAAGTGGGTGATAAACCCCAGTGGAGGACTCCTCTCAAAAGGACATCCGCTTGGAGCTACAGGTAGGGTTTACCAAGCACACCTGATGCCATTAAAAGAATAGTTCACACAAAAAAAACAAAAAAAATTGGAATTTTAGCAGTGTTCATGCTTGGGCTGCACAATTAATCGAATTTATAGTCGTGATTACGGAAGCCATGATTAATCGCTAAAACCCGCGATTACAACAAAAAAGTCCACTTTCATTATTCTGCGTGCTTAAGAGCTGTGTTTAGAACATGTTACATTGTTAGAGACGGATCACGACTACTTCAGAGAACCCAGCACTTTAGGAACTACCATGCTGAAATAAAGTCTCTCACCTCCTGTCAGCCGTTTTCTGCTCTTCAATTTCACACGAATATTCGGTTTTGGCCGAAACTGTTTTGGAGGTGCAATATCATTGACCAAAACACTGAGTGCTTCTCCGATGACGCATTTTGACTGTTGGTGTCTATTCCGTGCACATAACGTGAATATGCTACAACTGGTAAATATATATATAATATATTCGGTAACTATTTACAATAAGTTCTCATTTGTTAAAATTACTTAGTCAGTGTATTATTACCACTTTATTATACTACCATGAACTAACAATGAGCAATACATTTGTTACAGTATTCATTAAACTTTGTTAATGTTGGTTAATAAAATGAGTCGTTATTTTTTTTTTAACTAATGTTAATAAATACAACTTTTGATTTTAATAATGTATGAGCAAATGTGGAAATTAACATCAACTAAGGTTAATAAATGCTAGATGTATTGTTCATTCTTAGTAGATCCTCATGTTAACTAAACTAATTTAAACTTAAACTTTATTGTAAAGTATTACCATATATTTTACTTGTTAATTATTTAAAAAATTGGAGTAGAAGCATAATTATATAATTAAAAAGTTAAAAATGCTCTTGTGTACGATTTAAATGTTAACAGCTTAGTTTTTATTTGAGTTGTGATTTATTAAATAAATGTGATTTATTAATTGATTGTTTTAAAAAAAAAATTATTGTCAGGTTTTGATTACCTAAAACACTTTAAATTTCGGTAAAACATTATGTTTAGGGCATCGCTATTTTCTGGAGCTTGACAGTGTCCATGACTAACAATGTGTTGGTGTCTGCATGTGGCATTGCACCAGCAGAGGGAGCCGCATCTCTTAACTAGTGAATCAATACTAGATTCAAGCTCCTAGTGCTTGTGTTCTTAACGTCATCTTTTAAACCATCCAACCATACATAATAATATTAATAATAATATGCGGATCACCCTAAGAAAAGTAATTTCCACCCTAGAATTATCCCAGCACTAAATATAAATGAAAGCAATGTTTCCTGTTCTGCTTTTCAGCAACAGCGCCTCGATGTGATGACATTAAAAAATTGTACGGCAAAATAATGCCAAGAATACGTGTATTTCTAAAGGTTGTCCTTGTGTGCTGCACTTAGTGTAGTCAGCTTGATGAACAAATGACTCCTATGAACTAGTTGTTGGTGACTCATGAACACACAGCACAACAAGTGTAGCCCAGTTCATGAACAAATTGGCTGTTTCTCCATTTTCATTCAGAGGTGCTCTGAGAAAGATATGTCTGGGTTATTGTTTGGGGAGCCAATTCTCCAACTGCCCGCTCCACTGTCATCATGTATAATGGACCATTTTGCCATCCGACACAAAAAAATAAAAATGAAATCAATAAGAAAATCCTGACCAGCAGATGATTGCTTTGTTGCAATGCAGCTGTTTCGCATATTCACGGAAACTAATTTGAATGTCAAGCCATAAATCCACAGGAACTATGCATGGACGCTTGCTTTTGTGTTGCCACCCCTCACAGTACTAATGCCACCCTATAAAATTATTTTATAATAATTCGTAGATCCGCCCCTGGTCCGATTAACATTAATTTGACAGTTTTTCCTGATCCTCTTGACTCGTGAGGACCTCCCTCCCTGATCCTTTTCAATGAGGAGTTGGGAATCACAGGCTGACTGAAAAGGTCTTATTCTAAGTCCCTTATCCTGTAGGGGATAATGAGCAAAAGTGCAAGCAGTTTAGCCCATCAGGATAAAATGCTCAGCCTGAGCGTTAACTCACGAATCAGGACCGGTGGATTAAGGTGAGGTGTCGTGTCATTGGCTGTCCAGCACGTCAGGGGGTCTTCCCCGCCTAACTTGACTGTGAGATCATGAGAGTTTAGAAGGTACCCATCACCATCCATCGGCATTATTATTTAACATTATCTACTTCCAAAAGAACTACACTGCAATCCACAGAGAGAGACATTGTTACTACGTTAAGCTTTTTGGCTTCTTAGTTAAAGTGCCCCTATTATGTTGCTAATTTTGTTTTGGAGGTCTCCTATAACTGATTTACATGCGTCCTAGGGGGGAAAAAATAAACTCTTGAATTTTTTCACAATACACATTGCACATCACCTCATTACTCAAAGAGTCTGAAATGGTGCTTTCGAAGATTCAGTCCTAAATGAGAGCTTACTCTACTTTGATTGGTCTGTTGGCCCTGTCTGTTGTGATTAGTCTACTCCTTACAGCGCGAGTCTGAAATGAAATAGCAATTACCATATCTGAATTTTAGCTATGGAGCTTCCTCAGAGCTTGGAAACAGTAACGATGGTTTCGGTTTTACCAATCAATTTGAGCCGATTTCTCATCCTTTGGAAATGCATGCAAAATTTATTTGCTTAGCGTGTGTATGACATGCCAATTCGTATTTCCATTTTTGGCGTGGTATCAACACGCATAATCGCTTTTCAGCGTGTTTATGAACGCCGTTGACTTAACGTTATTACTGTACATATAAATATATGACTTACCTCAACCCCGTCCCTAAACCTAACCGTCACTGGGGTTAATGGCATTTATGATTGTTCCCTTACCATCCTAGGAAAAAAAAGATCGCTCCCCAGATGTAGATCTACATTTTGCTTCGTTTCGCGCGGACATTTGACGGCATGTACAGACACGCGGAATCACTCGGACGTTAATGGCGTATAATAACACGCATACACGCGGATAGCTCAAAATGCGTAGAGATAACACGCCACTTGACTCGAAAGTGGCGTTTATGTTTACGCAAAAGTCATGATGTCATGTTGTGCTTTCGCAGCATGACGATAACACGAACCAAACTTCCACGCCTTAGTATAACCGGTCCGTAACACTAGATGTTGCTTTGGGGTTTTAAGCATGCGTCAAAACCACCGCCATCTTAGAACAGGCGTCTTGTCATAGGAAGTAGCTAGGTAACACTGCTATCTCCGCCTGTACTTCGAAATATATGGATTTTCTGACTTTGTGCTGCAAATGGATGTTCACGCAAACGAAATCTGAACTAGGAAAATTATTTTTATTTTCTCTGGACTAAATAAAATGTCTGACCATTGGAACGAACAAAAAAAAAAACCCTAGAAAATCGCATTTGTGACGATTTATGGTGATTTTATTTCTGTTAGACCTTACATTTACACTTATGCTTTAAAGAGGAGGGGCTTCCCTGTACCATGATGGCGGCTGACAATCCAATGAACTGCCAAGGTGACATCGAGTGTATATATCTATGAATGCTAACAAGGACGCTAAAGATCACAACGCCTCTTGAGGCCAGGGGTGTGAAGCTTGGTTTATAATCGTTGCGACCCCGTTTCGGGTGGCAACTTTACGCACGGCTCTGCTTCTGAAGATGCACGACTTCGAGGTGAATCTAGCCGAGCATGTACGTCTCGTCACACCGCCACCCAGTTTGCTTACGTTGAGCCTATACTAGCAGAAATAATCGTTAATGTACTTGTATACATGTTCTCATAGCCATATATTTTGTTCTAATGTCACAAGTAGTAATCTCAAGGTTTACTGTGTTTTTTTGGGAGGAGCGTGCGCAGTCAGCGGAGTTAGGCGAAAGTATAAACAAGGCCTGAGGTTACATCAGCCACAACTTCAGTGTTTGAGGGCGGGACAAAGTAGACGTTGTTCGCAGGCAGCCAATGAAGACGATAGACTGGAATACACTGGAATTGCTGACGACTCGTTTCGGGCAGTTCAGAATCGATTCTTTCTTTTAGAAGACAATAAGTTTATTTGTAATGCACTTTGAGCTTTGCAGACCTTTTACATTCTTAAAAAGCCGTATTACACACGTGAAAGGTAATATTCAAAAAAGCATAATGGGGCACTTAAAAGTAATCACTTAACATTACTTACAGAAACAAAGTATTAACTGGTTAAAAAAACATTTTCACTCTGCAACAATAGACCTTAGTCAGAGTAGCTGCATTGTTCATTTTTTTAGGAATGAAAACGAGATGGTGAGAGAAAGAAATACAGTGTTTTCAATTGAATGTACTGTTTGTAACAAAATGCCAATTGGTCATCTTTAATCTCAGTAGACAAAAATAAAACAGACATTTTAAATAGCATGTGATCTAGGATCTTTCATGCCATTATAAAAACATCTATCCCTTAGCGGTTTGAAATTCAGCATGGTGTCTAACCAAGATCGGTGCAAACTTTTTTATGTAGCATTCTGCAAATATATACTCTACAGATTTTGTTTTTTATTTCTTCACCTGTTCTAATCCCTGATTTTAGGTCATTGCATTTAAAGAATATTTACATGTATAGTTACATGTACAAGAAGCCGTATACCTCTGTAAGGTGACAGATCTTCAGAGTTATTTATTACATTTTTATTTATTAGATTTGATTAAATTACACTTTGGTCAAAGACCTTTAGGAAAGTTTCTGGTCCACTTTATCCCATTTTTGCATATTTTTTTATTTATTTAATGAATTATTAGAGGACAGAAAATCAACAGGTCACAGAATAAAGGAGCAATGAAGGCAGATGGCTGTGACATTCAGAGCGAGTGTGCGGTGGATGAACTCTGGCCTGTTTTTACGGCTCAGGTCTGGCTCAGTGTGCGGAGCTGTGCTGGCAGCTGAGGGGGGAGGCGGGGCCTCGGCAGGTCCCCGGGGCAAAGGTTGCCCTGCAGCACAACATCGGTCTTGGTGGAGCGGTGGTGGTCACTCTCTACAGGATGGGCTTCCCTCAAGAAACTAGGTATGTTTAAAACTAATACGTCTAAAAGGGATACTCCTTTTTTTTGAAAGAGGCTCATTTTACCACTCCCCCAGAGTTAAACGGTTGAGTTTTATCGTTTTTGAATCCATTCAGCCAATTTTCTGATATTTAGATGAATATCAGTAACCAGACAGAGACAGTTTCTGGTCTCATTGACTTCCATAGTATATATTTTTTTCCTACTATGGAAGTCATTGAGACCAGAAACTGTCTGGTTCCTGATATTCTTCTAAATATCAGAAAATCGGCTGAGTGCATTTGAAAATGGTGAAACTCAACTGTTAAACTCTGGGGGAGTTGTAAAATGAGCCTATTTCCAAAAAAAGTGGAGTATCCCTTTAACAAGCATTGAGTATCTGGCCCAGATACAGCCAGCTCACCCAAATGATATATGTATATATTCAAAATTCTGTTTTTCTAATTACTTTCCAAAATCACAAATTATATTTGTATTTATGGCCCACTATTTAAAAATGTTGTGTTTGATAAGATTTTAAATGTTTTTGAATGAAGTCTCAAGGCTACATTTATTGTATCAAAAAAAGGTCAAATATTATTACAATTAAAAATAATTGTTTTATTTAAAATGTAATTTATTCCTGTGAGCCGTTACTCCAGTCTTCTGTGTCTTCGCTTCAATAGACTTGTTTGATGTTCAAGTAACATTTATTTTTATTATTAATATTGAAATCTGTTCAAAAATGATACATTTGTTTTAGAATGCTTAATGAATACAAAAATATAATTGAATGAAAACAGCATTTTTTGGAAACAGAAATATTTTGTAATTGTCTTTACTGTCACTTTTGATCAATTTAATGCATCCTTGCTGAATAAAAGTATTAATTTCTTTCCTTCTTTATTGTAAACAGTCTTACTAACCCATGGTACTGTACATTTTATTTAGGTATATATATATATATATATATATATTTGATTTATACAAACCTTTGGTTGCAAAATATCAATGTTTGTTGAAGTTTATCCATTATCATGTATTCATGGTCTTTAATTATATAGGAAAATGTACAGCAAAAAAAAAACAAAAAAACAGTTCAGGGTCTAGGCTTGTACGATTCAGCTCTATTACATGTTTGTTTAAGTATACAGAAGGTGGGTACAAAATCCAAGGTACAAAAGATTATATTTCCCTTACATGAGTGCATATCAGTCTATATGAGTATATATGTGAAATGTTCAGTTATTAGAGTATTCAAGAAGTGATTTTACTCTCTCCATGTAATATTGTCAAATATTACAATTTGTTAAATGCTGTAGTTCTATTAACTACATTAGAACTAGACTGTTGGACTTGGTGCACACCATGTACCAGCAGTGGTGAACTTGCAATCTAAACTTTCCCAGGTCTCGGATCGCTGCAGTACCCACCAGCGCGTCCAGTGACCTCAAAGGCTTCAAAGCTCACACGGTCTTTCAGGAGATCGAGAAGAAGCTACAGGAGGTAATTCATCAGGAATGAAGATCTCACCAATTATACTATGCAAATAAGACTTTTAAATGAAATTGTTGTAGAAATAATTTGTACCAGTGTAAGATTAAAAATAGTACAGTAACTTAAGTTATTCTTTCCAGAAAGAGAGCCACAAGGCATTGTTCATTCTTGTCTATCTGCGTGTTTCAAACAATTTCAGTTATTTTTGTGACATCACCATGTTATTTAGCTTGATTCATGACTAGTTTGTTAACAGACAATTTGCTTTAGAAAATAATCCAATTTGCTACAGAATTATTAAATTATGTCGTTGTTTTTAACAGGAGGGTGAGGCGTTTGTAAAGAAAATTGGAGCTGTTTTTGCTTTCAAAGTGAAGGATGGTCCAGGTGGAAGTGAAGCATTATGGGTTGTGGACGTAAAAAATGGCAAAGGCTCGGTGACCAACGATGCAGGTGTGTTCAGATTTTTTTGTCCACCTCATTGTGTATCAGTGCACCTCATTAGTTGGGACATGCAGATTCTAATAAAAAATACCAGAAGCAGCTAAAAAAAAAAAAATTGTAAATAGACTTTGTCTTTACAAACCAAGCAGTCATTTGACAGATTGAACTCTAAATTGAGTGTCTCCAAGAGCTCTACTTTTACAAACATTCTGATGATTCTCTGTTCACTTTCCACTCAGGTAAGAAGGCTGACTGCACCATCTCTATGGCCGACTCAGATATGCTTGCTTTGATGACGGGGCAAATGAATCCACAAACGGTACGTTTTAATGATGGTTTATTCTTAGGGGTCTGTTGAAATCTTGAAGAAAAAGAAAAAGAACATCGTCAGTTGGGATGTAGTTTAATGTTTATGAGTGTCTTGGGACAGAGCCAGCATTTCCAGGATTAGTCCCTTTTAAACCTTGTCCCATGACCCACAGACACACTGACCATTCGCCTGGCCTGCTAATTCAGCCTTCTCAATGCAAGTTTCTTACAAAATACGGCCAACACAACATTTATAATCTGTTAGGCCTACATCAATATTGACAATTTACGTCTAAATGATCTGACTTGTGTCTAAATTATCCAAAATCCAAATAAATCCCATAGACCTACATTTAAGGGTGAACTCGATCCATATCTATTGATCAGAACGCCATATCATGGGGGTGTTTTTCTTCTTCGTTCACTTAGATTCCGATTCACAAGCTCTCGATTCAATTTTATTCAGATTCATTTGGTCGTTATGTCCATTTTGCTTCAATTTGAAAGATATTCTCTGTCAACTAATGCTGTAAAGTATAGTTAAACCTTGGAACATTTTGAAAGTATTTTTTTTTATATAATAATTTGCTCGTGAATCAGACTACTTTGATTGCGCTGTATGTTTTTGATTCATTAAACCAACCGATTCATAAGAGTCATTTGTTCATGAATCAGGCTACTCAATGTGTGTTTTTGATTTGTTAAAAATAACTGATTTATAAGAGTCATTTAATTGTAAATCAGACTACACGGGTCACTTTTTTTTTGATTTGTTAAAAAGAACTGGAATCATAAGACTCCAGTAAGACTTTTTAGACATAAGACTTTTTTTTTTTTTTTTTTTTTTTTTGTGAATCAGATTGCGCTGTTTGTTATTATATGCAGCCCAAAAGATATTTTCTTGCCAATCATTTTGTGGTGTATGTTTTTTTTTTTAAAAAGCTTATGTTCAATTTGGCCTGCAAACTTAAAAAATGAATTAAAATTTGCCCGTGGGGTTGTGAATTCAGCATCCACTGCTAAGAAGTGGTGCAAGAAACACTGGCATATATAGAGTGAAATATCATTGGAAAAAAAAAGTCTAAAAAATCTAGTTTTAAAACCTGTCCAATGTTCATTTTTAATCAAAAGTTGTGTCTTTGCACTATAATGTGGCCTTTCTGATTAGTCGGAGGTCAGAAATGACCTTTAAACTGAAATGTGCAGTCCATAAAAGTTAACTAATATCTAAGTAAAAAGAACATGGAGTCCTTTGAAATGGTTGTACCCTGTGATTCACACCCATCTGTGTTGACCCAACCTCTATCATTTCAAATTGGTTTCTTGAACATGACGATGAATTCACTGTACTAAAATGGCCCCCACAGTAACCAGAACTCAACCCAATAGAGCATCTTTGGGATGTGGTGGAACGGGAGCTTCGTGCCCTGGATGTTCATCCCATAAATCTCCATCAACTGCAAGATGCTATCCTATCAATATGGGCCAACATTTCTAAAGAATGCTTTCAGCACCTTGTTGAATCAATGCCATGTAGATTTAAGGCAGTTCTGAAGGCTAAAGGAGGTCAAATACATTATTAGTATGGTGTTCATAATAATCCTTTAGGGCAGTGTATAGTGTATATGAATGAAACATTGGATAGTGTTACTGTTTGTTTGTTTTTCTTTCTTTTTAATGTCTATAGTTTTTATTTTATTTAAATTTTAGTTTTAGTTGACAAATGAAAATGCCAAATGTTGCACTGAGCACTAGTAGACTTACTATGGCTCTTTTTACACCTGGTTTTAAGATGCGTTTTGATCGATCGGATCACAAGTAAACGGCAGGTGTAAACGGGGTCTAAAACGCTTTGAGCTTGTCCACTACGACCACTTCCAGAGGTAGTTGAAAACACATTCGACCGGATTGCTTTCATAGTGTTGATGCTAATGTGGACAAATGGGTTCGAACAGCCACAAAAGTTCATCTACCCTCCGTCTGTTGACTTATTGCGTTTGCGTACGCATTATGTGAAGCGCGCCAAACAAACGGGATGTACAATTTGACCCAATTTTGGTTTGAAGATGAAAAACGTACCAAGCACCATGTTCTCTTGCTATTTCTGATTACTAACATGCACTCTGTATGTTTTTACATTGCCTCCGTTCGTGTTTATTCGTCCATTAGATCAGAAGATATGGTAAAAAAAATCCATACATTTTCACATTGAATCAGGACAGAAGTGGTTGAAAGTGAACAGAGACGGATTAAAACATCAGGTGTAAATGTGAACTATAAGTAACTATAAGTATAAGGTCTATAAGTAACTTTGCAACTACTTGTCAATTTATTCTACTAACCCGAACCCTAGCAGTCTTAATACTCTAATGAGAGTCAGTTGACATGGAAAAGTGGGCAATCGAAATTAAGTGTAACCTTTTTTTAAGTTAACGTTTATTTCATGTAACAAAAATATTTTGGCTGTAATGGTTTTAGTTTTAGTGGTACAGTAACCCTTATTTGTAAAGCTCTAATTTGTTAATCTTGTTCTCTTATTTAAAGGCATTTTTTCAAGGAAAACTAAAGATAACTGGAAATATGGGAATGGCCATGAAACTTCAAAACCTTCAGCTGACACCTGGAAAAGCCAAACTGTGAAATCACGTCTCTTGAAAAGGAAAGTGGCACAAATTCATCCGTGTGGAGAGGTGCTAGAATAGTTAATTTCTAAAAAAAATAATGTTTGCTAAAATTGTTTTGGTTTTTTTTTTTTTTTTTGTAATGTTGCACTATAACAATGAGTTTGTTGGTCATTGCATAAATGTAACTGCAATGTTAGTAACATCTGAAAGACACAAGGATGAAGACTGATAATGTTGCTGTTGTAAATCATAATAATCTTTGGAAACCACAAGAATGATAAAAGGGGAACTATTTGATTCTTGCAGATTTTTTTCCCTTGGATTTTATAGCATCGCTGGCTTGGTAATGTCCGTCTAATTGACTAATATCAGTTTAATAGGTGGAATTCTGCAAAGACTTATTTGGGACCTTCATATCTACTTTGTAGTGTCAATCCAGTTAACATGCAAGTAGAGTAACAGACCTTGATGCTTCAAAGGTATATTGAGTATGTTATCAATTTTAAAGCATTTTGTATAATTGTAAATTAATCAAGTTTGTAAAAAGACACATTTCTAATAAATATTCAATTTTCTTCAAAACATGCTGTCATTTTCCTATTATTTTTATAATATAGTACAATAATGTAATGCAATACAGGTCCTCCCTCCACCTTCTGCTCATCTCTAATATCTGGATCTTACAACCAGTTAATTAACCTCCTGTTGGGCTACTACTTTCTATTCTGAACAATTTTCATACAGGAAAGTATTGGCGGATTTTAGTTACTTTTATGCTCCATTTCCTGAAATGTAACCCACTGGATGTGTGCATCTTTGAACACCATGGAATGAGAAGACATGCATTGCTTTCATCAGGCGTACCGAGTGAGTCATAATTTTATAGAATTTCATTTAAATCACAATTAATACATTTGACATTTTCCATATAAACAATCTATACAAGTTCTGTAAGGCTTTGGGAATGTGTGGCATGTATGTGTCAGTCCATAAATCCCACTTCTGACAAATTTCAGAGAGGTTTGCAAAGGAAGTCCTTCCCCCATGTTCCTCTCTGGGTTTCATTGTATTATATTTATAAATGATTTTTTTCCTGTGATGGCTAAGCTACATTTTCAGTGTCCGATGATTTGCTGCTCAAGAAACATTTCTTAACAACTTTTCTTACCATTATCTGTTTTTGAGGAAATGAAAAGTTACACATATTTTTCTGGTTTCTTTGATGATGAAATAGAAATATTTTGGAACATTATAAATTCACTGCCACTTTAATGTATCAATTTAATGCATCCTTACTGAATGAAAGTATTAAAGGGATAGTTCACTTTGAAATTAATTTTTGTTTTGTTTTAGTTTACCTCAAGGGCATCCAAGATGTAGGTGTTTTTTTTCCACAGTATTTTCAATTTTGATATTTTTAGGTCAAACTGTTTGTGTCTGTCAGTCATATAATGCAGGTCTATGGTCACCACCTCAAAGAGCATGCACAGAGAAGTCCAAATTAAACATGATTTAATGACTCGTAAATGTAAGCACACATTGATGGCGTAAGACAGGAAACGAGTGGTTTGTGTGAGCGAACAGTATTTATATCGTTTTTACCTCTTGTAATCACAGCCACGTCCAAGTGATCTGAGGGCGCGGGCATCGGTCTGCGCAAGCGCCAGAAAGCGCCGGAAGTGATCTCTTGCGCGGTTGTGAAAAAAAAAATAAGCGTTGTCTGTTGATATATCGAAATCGTCTTCCTTTGCAATTTACTGTATATCTACAATATGTTTATCTTCACAGTGAAGGATGACACTTCTGAAATCTCTGTGTAAACATTGAGTGACGTACATGCGCGGAGATAACTTCCGGGGCTTTCCGGCGCTAGCCGCCGGCACTTGCGCAGAGAGATTAATTTAGACATCTCTGTTCATGCTCTTTGAGGTGGTGACCATAGACCTGCATTATATGACTGACAGACAAGAACGGTTTAACCTAAAAATATCAAAATTGAAAATACTGTGGAAACAAAGACACCTACATCTTGGATGCACTTGAGGTAAGCTAAAACATATCCAAAAATAATTTCAAAGTGAAATATCCCTTTATTTTACCTTTTATATCTTACTGACTTTTTGAAAAAGTGGTGGTTATTGCAAACCTCGCTCATTTGCAGTATCCCCAAAAATATTTGGACACTTAATTCACATGTAAATTGTATAATCAATGAATCTCATCGCAGTAGATAACAAAATATCAAACCAAATTATACTATTGCATTCTTACTACCTTATAAACATCTTCACTTAACTAACTTTTAACCAACTGTTTTTTTTTGTGTTGTTGTTTTTTTGATGATGATGATTTTTAGTCATTTGTAAATGTATTTCGAAATACATTCAATAAAGTTTAAGCCCTATATAAGATAATAATGTTCAGTTTGTAAACTTTTTTTTTCCAGGGTTTCTGGGTTGGCTGTAGGTCTGGGTGGAGTTAACGGCTAAAAAACCTCTGATCTGATGCATTGACATTCTGACGTTTAAATTAAATCAAATACTTTTAGCTAATACAAGTGTCCAAAAACTTCTTGGGGCCACTTTACGTATATGTGATCACTGGTGGTTAAATCTTCAGGGGACAGTTTCTTTCGCTCCCTGTTAGTGAAAGAAGTTTTGAACAGAGAAATATATATATATATACTATATTTAAAAAGAATTAAAAAATGATGAAAACCGATCTCAGCAGCATATGGTGAATAATATAAACGACACATAAATCCAAGCTGTCCATGAAGAGTGTTGTTCTTCTCTCCTCACATGTAAAGAACACAATAACAACAGCGCTCATACGTACACCGATCTTTCTCCACGCGCTTCAACGAGGAGCTCAGCCATCTGGGAGTCAACAGGGTTTAGAAAATCCCCTAAGCAGGTCCAAAGATTCACAGCCCTGATCGCATCAGCTTCCCTACAGTCATTTGCACACATACTCAAAATCCAAAGGTAGAGAAAGAGAACTGTTTTGGTCTCTGACGGAGTCTAGACATTGGTCTCCAGACCGTTCATGTCAATGGTACAGTGTTCTTTGTCTTTATGGTCTCTTTTAGAATGGTGTGGAGACAGGTGAGGGGAGCTCTTGTCGGCTGGCCTGATGCCCTCCTCCAGCAGCATTAGACGGGCCACGTCAGGCGACAGGTGCTCGGGTTTCCTCGTGGGGCCAATAGGAGGGGGCTGGAAGCAGCCGTTTTTCTGATAGGACATCATCTGCTGGATGCTGATCATAGGCTTGGTCTCACAGATGAGAGGAATCTGTAAAGAGAAGACAAAAGTCGTCATTTTATTGCTGCTGCTGAGTGAAACTGGCATCAGATGCATTGGGAGGCCCCAGAACATCATGAAGAACAAAACCAAATTTATTTGGATTTTGTTTTTGGTAATTAGAAACTGTTTGTCAAAGTTTGCTCCAGCTGGTAAACCGCGGTATCATTTGGTCCGTCACGATTCCGTAATAGATAATGTGGCTGTTTTCCTGTACGCTTCGTCGAGGTCAGATGAGTGAAATCATGAATACACTGGAGAGCTGCTCTATTAAGCTTCGTTATTAAAACTTAGTTTTAAGTTGCCAGTCAGCGCCAGCACTTTCATGGCTCCCAGAATATATTGTTATATTTGAAATTAAATAGGCCAATATGTCAAAAAAGAAAGCCTCTGCTTTTTAACAACAACAACCGACATTTTATAGCTCCTTCATTCATTATCAACACTTAAAGCTACACTGTGTAACTCTTTTAATTATTCTTAGCTAAAAACACTTAGTTCTTTCAAAAATATATGTGCTCATTAATGTATATTTACTTCGTTCAAGTAATAAAGTATTCTTGTGAGTGTATAATATGCCATTGAAAATACAAACGGATAAGGGGTTCTATCACTCGCCATGTTGCCCCTCCATCTTGAAAGTACATTAGCCAAAGAGGGACATACCCGTTAATTCAAGCTTCGCCTTTCGCATTTACGTTTGAGTTAACACTCATGGACGAGGTCGAACTGGAAGCCATGTTAATCTTGGACTACATTGGCCACCGTAAGAGTTAAAACGAAATCGGAATTGAGAGGAACAGAAACTAATATTCACTGGATGGTCATATACCTTTTCACCGCTAGATGGGGGTAAAAATCACACAGTGTAGCTTTAAATGTGCATAAGTTTCACAAAAAAACAAACATTTCGAACAAACTTTGTTTCAAACAAAACATAGATCGAGTGAACACATTAGCTTATTTGTGCATAAGTGATTTCTATAAGCTCCTTCTGGGCTGCATCGGAAATCACATACTTCCCTACTACAGCATATATATATATATATATATATATATATATATATATATATATAGGCAAAAAAAAAAGTTTGTGACAAAAGAAGTACGTCCACATTCACAGAACTCAAAGCAGGCAAAAAGTCCCCGGATGGGCCTACTACTTCCAGCTAGATTCTTAAGTGTGCATACAATGGACACTTTATTATCTCATGAAGCCACTGGAGAGGATTTATGAATGACAGTGAAGAGACGTAACAGATGCTGGTAGGTCACATGATTCACATTCATACCATTCATACTATATAGAACGTATAGCGCCGATGATATATTGTATTTAACACTTGAGGATTTTTCTCCGCCACATTCTCCTGCACCAACGGATTTAGTAGAATCTACCGATGATGAGGACGAAAATGAACCAGCCGTCTTTGGAGTAAGATCCTATCAGTTTGAGCCAAGTAACGTTACAGAGCGGGACGCTTTAGATTCTAGCATTTGATTGGACAGATGAGAAGCTGTCATAAAAATTTTAGCGGAAGTCAGAGGCTATAAGTTTTGAATGCTTATATCTCCTAAATGTGAATTTTTCAATTCATAAGTTTAAAGGTGGCATATGTAATAATTGAGGTAACAATATACGAAAAATGAGCTACACGCATCAAGAATGAGAAGAAATAAGTGCAAAGATGTCATTAAAAAACTGACAAGTTATAGTGCTGCCGAGATATTAACCTGAATTAGCATGCTAAATTACTAGCCCCGGCCCGGCAGGTGTCGTAATACCAGTTCCGGCCATGGGAGGCGGTATGCGGACGGGCAACGTTAGCACCAGCCAAACTGCAATAGACGAGTGAGTCGCGCTCGCGCCGGCTTGTGTGTGTGTGTACTTGAACCTGATGTCAGTCGTGTGGAAATACAGCCAATTACTACATTTCAGTTCAGGGAAGAGTTCAAAAAATGATTGGTCGACATTATGCATGAGGAATACATTTTGGTAAGTTGTAGCATACTGTATCTTTCACCAGAGTTCATGTTCTTTTTCCAGCTAGTAGAGACGATCGGTTCACGTGCGCTAGGGATCTGTAGTGTAACATGTACAAGCGCCAAAACGGTATTTATTCTTTGAATTGCGTAATATAATTGACAGAATCTGAGAGCTTAACTAACCTGCTTGCTAAGTGTCAATTGCGTGTGTCTCACAGTGAATTCACGGCGCTAGCTTGATCAACATCAGCGAATGCTGTCTGTCAAATTAATTCACTAACAATAAAAGTGTAATATGAACAAAACGAATACCATAAACTTCAAATAATTGCCCAAGCTTTTATTTTCCCATACCGTCGAAATGCACCAGCTTGTTTTTGAGATCTATGAGGCGGTCTTCATCATTTAGTGTTGAGATTCATAGTGTTTAGTTTAGTTCACTCTAGTGTGTAGTTCATTGAGTCTCTGATCTCTAAAAATCTCCAAATGTTCCACGTGAAACTGCGGTCTTCCAACCTTTTACTATCATGTCAAATGATTTGAATAACATGCGCGATGGTAGGAGCACAAGTCATTTTTTGGAGGTATACTGCCCCCATCTGTTATGAAATATGGAGTAGGATTTGATTTATGATGTTAGATGGCACCTTTAAGCCAAACATATTGTATTAATACTATATTAAAACACACCAGAATCAGATAATCAATTTTTTCAGGGTTACTTGAAACTTTCTGGCAGGTGTTGAAGCACTGAAGTCTTCAGTAAGGAGTCTTTTCAGGAGCAGGGTTGGAGACCACTGATGGTGTAAAGTGGTATATAAATAGACATGACGTGACTGGAGTGATTAATTAGAGAGCTGGTGCAAACAAATCCACATTGCTATTTTCAGATGCTTTCTTAAGTGCTGTTTTCCACCTGAGTCATTTTCGTTGTTTTGTCATTGAAAGGAAAGCATGCAGTACATATTCATCTAAACCGCGTCTCAGTGTTGTGAGATGTTCACTTGAAAAATAACTTTGCCGTGAGTTATGAGGGCATTTAATGTTATAAAATCCTATCTAAATCTGTTCTCACCTCCTCGCCCTCCTTCACAAAGTCTTTTCTGCATATGTGTGCCATGATTCCTGTGGCCAGAGCATCACCCATCACGTTCACCATCGTCCTGAACCGATCCCTAACAGATACACAAGATTGTGAGGAAAACTCTGCATTTATAGTGGAAATGTATGAGAGAGAGAGAAATTCATGTGTCTCTGATTTCTTACAGGGCCCAATCCACAGCGATGATTAGAGTGATGTCATCTGTAGGAAGTCCCACTGAGGTTAACACTATCACCATGGTTACCAGGCCGGCCTGTGGGATGCCGGCAGCACCGATACTGGCTGCTGTAGCCGTGATGCTGAAGTAAGAAGCAGAGAAAATATTATCCTTAAAGAAAACTTAGTGATATCTGATCTTTGAATTAACTTGGTATCAAAGGTAATTTCACTATACCGGGGAATTATAGCATATGTTATCTGATTTTTGCTGGATAAATAGAATTGTTTAAAATACTAAATAGAATAGAATAGATTTTTGATTCCTCATAATGATTTTTCATTCTCTATCAAATTTTCCTTAAATGTTTTTTTTTTTTTTTTTTTCAAATGGAATAAGTACACTGAACAAAATTATAAACGCAACACTTTTGTTTTTGCCCCCATTTTTCATGAGCTGAACTCGATCTAAGACTTTTTCTAGGTTAAAAGGCCTACTCTCAAAAATCTGTGTTAGTGAGCACTTCTCCTTTGCCAAGATAATCCATCTGCCTCACACGTGTGGCATATCAAGATGCTGATCAGACAGCATGATTATTAATTAGATCTAACTTAGATCAGTCACGTGATCTAACTTAATTAGCCACCATCACATGATCCCTCAGAAATCTAATAGGATGTTTATGCTGCTTAATATGACTATTTTCTGGATTTTTTTCTCGAGATTCTTTGATAAATAAAAGAACAGTTTTTATTTGAAGTAGAAATAATTATACGTAAACGTCTATCACTTTATGCATTTTTGCAGGGTAAAAGTATCATACTTTCCCCAAAACTTTGAGTTATGTATCATGATTTATATAAAAAAAATATTAAGCAAGCACAACTATTTTTACCATTGATAATTATGAATAAATTATAATAGTTACTTGAGCTGCAAATCAGCATATTGTAATGATCATGTGACATTGAAGACTGGAGTAATGATGCAGAATATTCAGTTTTTTACACAAATAGAAAACTGTTCTTTGAAATTGTAATAATATTTCACATTATTACTTTTTTTTAGCAAATAAATTGGTGATTATAAAAGACTTTTATTCAAGACTTCTTAATTATTCAAAACTAGCTGGTAGTGTATAATAAATAATATATTTAGCACATGAATAAATACAATTAAATAATATACATTCATATTTTAATTAATTAATTTATACTTATTATATAAATTAAATAAGTGACATAATATTAATTTATGAATAAACAGGCCTTATAGATTATGAATTTGGTTTGAATTATGGAATTATTCATGTCTAAATAAGGAAAACTGCTCAGGTGGAATAACTCAGAATAGACATTCAGATGAAAAGTCAGGATTAATAGGAGTGTTGTCTAAAGGAAAATGAAGGGAGAATCTACCTCATGTTAGCCCATCGTACCCTACCTGATTGTGATGATCTGGCCAAAGTCCAGCTCATAGTTGTTGACTTGAGCGATAAAGATGGCCGCCACGGCCTCATATAGGGCAGTGCCGTCCATGTTGATCGTAGCACCCACAGGAAGTACGAAGCGAATGATGCGTCGGTCGATGTGGTTGTTCTCCAGCAGGCACTTAAAGGTGATAGGCAGTGTGGCAGAGCTATAGTAGAAAGCAAGAGCATCATTTTTTCTTTGCCATGTGTCTCCTCACAATGTGGCGCATGTTTCAGCATGAGTTTGTTGGCACTTGAAAGTCTGGTAGTGTGTGATTCTCAGTCATTAGTGTATGATGCTGTCTTTCACTATCTATTAACAAAGCTGACAAGTGATGCGTGTTTTACAATCTGTTCAAATACGGTTTCGTTTATTATAATCTAGCAGGGCCTAGCTAAAAATATGAATATGCATATAAGTACCCTTACCTGGATGAAGTAGCTAATGAGATGAGAAGGGCCTGTAAAATCCCTCGGATGTAGACGATGGGGCTCTTTTTCGTAATGAAGAAATACATGGAAGGCAGGATGAATAGGCCATGAAGCACAAGCCCCATGACCACAGTGATGGCGTAGAAGCCCAGTTTCTTCCCCATAGCTGAGGGGTCGTCCATTTCCAAGATCTTTCCGGCCACCAGAAACACAATCCCAAACGGGAAATACCTGTGGTGTTGCATCAGAAACACTGCATTATTTGGGGGGAGTTCATTAAATTCAATCACAACACACTGGTCCAGCCAACCAATCAGAGCACATTGTGCTTTTCAGAAGGAGGGGCTTCATAGAGGAACTAAACAGAGTGTTACTGACAGACTGGGAAGAGAGGTGCTGCAAAAATGTCAAATATGTGAAAAATTATGTGTTTTGAACATTTAAAAACGAAAACATGCTCTAGTAGACCTAAACAACAAAATCAAGCGTCTTTAAATGAAGTCATTGGTATTCCCATAGATATCTATATAAAGGCTAGATATCTCGTCCGCGCTGCTGGCCAATGGAGGTCCACGTCTGCACCTGGCGGCCATCTTGTCACAGGCAGCTCGCGCACTCGTAACATTGTTTTAATGGTGCATGTACTTTTAAATAACCGTAACTTGCTCAATTTTCTACCGATTTTCAAACGGTCTGGTTTGTTATAAGCGTCAGAGATGTAGTTATGACACTGCATACTTATGAATAATAAGTGTATAAATAAATAATCATCCAGAATTATAGCCACGTTGATAACATTTGTAAGAAACCAAACCGTTTGTAAATCCATCAAGATTTCAACGAGATAAGAGTATTTGTGTTTGTGCTGATCACTCATCTTACATCAGATACCACAGAGTCCGCCAGAAAGCCTGCCTGTGACAAGATGGCCGCCGGTGATGGCGATAAGACAGCTAGCCTTTATATAGATATCTATGGGTATTCCTTTTTGACAAACATGCCTCCATTCTATGTAATTAACTCATTATATTTTGTGTTTCATTCACAAAAATTGCCCGGTGCATTTTGCATCACGCTTTTACCGCCAAATGAATGTAGTCTAGGTTACGTTAAAGAGATGCTTCAGTTGGTCTCGTGATCATGGCAACAGCCTAGTTTCAAAGAAAGGATATTTTGAACAAGAATGTCATAGTTTCAGTTAAATGAGACTGAAATTATTCCATTTATGTGTACATAACATTTCCTGTTGTGAATCAGGCACTAAACGAGTGCAGTTAATGCATGTGAAAAAGTGCAATTAGGCACAATATTCATTCATAGTGGATCTGCACTTTATAGTGTTTACAATAGGGAGCCTCAAAATTGTGTCAAATTATCTTTTTGACATGTTTTGTGGTCTTGTATAAATATTCAAATGCCCAACTTAAACAAATAAATAATAATTTTCAGGCACAATTTGGTAAGCAAGAACCAAACATGCATAACTCTCTATGCAGCGGCTATAGTTATTTGGTTAATTGTCATGCATAGGTTTTAAGATCATGCTTGTCATTACCATATAACAATGGCCACAATTTTCAGCACAGCTTCATTCAGACTCTGGCAGAAGTTGACGAGAGCGCTGCCATTTGGTCCCATTCTTCCAAGCATGATACCTAAATGACAAGAATACTTGAGTATTTATTAAATAGACTGAATTAAGCTGTGAAATTCCAGATGTTGATGCTACAACTTACCCATAGTAGATGAGAAGATCACGATACCGAGGACATTCATGCCTTCACTGGTGCCAGGAAGCGTTCGGAAGACCACATCAGGAGGTGGCGTCAGGTCAAGGGAAAAGTTCTGGATGTCTGTGCTATTGTCATCCTGGATTCCATAAATGAAGTTCCGTCTGGTGGCGGTCTCTTGTGTGTCCTGACTGACGGTGGCTCTTGGCTTCATGATAGGGATGCTTTTTGTGCGATACTGCAATTCAAATATAATTCATATTAAGATGGCATGTAAAACAAATTTACAGCAAAAGTCAGAGTATACAATACCAAAAGTGCTGGGTTATTTTAAACATTACGCATGCACCTTTAATAAAATCATACGATGATAATTGTTTCCATGTTATGGGCGATAACGATAAATAGCTGAAATTACAATTCTTAACTAATTTGGTAGGATTAAATAAAACGCTTATTTTCAAAAGTAAATTCAGTCATCACAGCATTATAATTTACAGTATGAAAAAGGGATATTCATTTTACGAACAATAAATATTATATTCGAGTTTTCTTAAATTATTAGAGTAACTTTAATTGAGCAGTAGATATAGTCTAAATGGGCAAAATGAGCTGCACACTACTGACTTATAAGAACACAGATTTTACATCAGTCAATAAACAATACACATGAAATGAGTACCCAAAAATAGTTGTGAATAATATTTTGGAGGCAAAAATACAGACGTTTGGTGTCATGCTCATGTGCACAAGCGTTTCAGGAACAGGCCATAAAACTAATGGAAAAACATAAAAACTCACTTGTTGGAAAGTTGCTTGGACCAAGTTGGCTGGGAACATGTTGCTGATGGAGGAAACAAAGTTTTTTTTATGAATATAGTAATGAATACTAATGTTTGTTACACTCGGTAACACTTTACAATACGGGTGCACTAATGTGCATTAATTCATTCTTAACTAATGCACAGATAATCATGAGTTAATGTATAACTAATGAAGAACTAAACCATTAATTGATGATTACTGCATCAGCAACTAATAAAGTGTCTATATGATTAATAGATTAAGTAATACATGAATTGCTATTAATTCAATGTGTCATGTATTAATTCCTTAACATATTTTATTAACTAATAGTGTAAATTAATGTGTTAATTATTGCAATTAGTCAAAGCTATGCACTTCAACTTTAAGTTGTCTGCTTTAATTAATCATTAGCTAATGATTTGCAAAGGTATCATTATGCTATGACTTTACTTGATGGGGCACATCATTATTAACCAGTCATTTAGTAATTGTAGTAATTTGCACATGAATTTGCACTAACAATGAAGTAATTAATCATGTATTAATGCATATTAGTGTACCTGTCATATTACCTGGAAGTTGAAATACAAGGCTTTGGCTCATTCTGGTAATTAACACTATTAGTTAAAAAAAATGAGTTATTATGGAATTAATCCACAATTACATATTTAATTAATAACAATTCATGTATGAACTAATACATTAACCTTACAGACTCTTAATTAGTTCCTAATGTGGTAATAATTAATGAATAGCTTAAATAATCATTAGTTACACATTATTTCAGTATTATCTGTGCATTAGTTAAGCATGTATTAATGCGTATTAGTGCACACGTATTGTACACAATTGTTCTGCTGATTAAGCTAATTAAGTTAGCCATGGGACAACATCCAAAACATAACATTGCTATTGACCAGTCATGGTATTTTTTAGCACATTGCACAACAGAAATAGAAGAAGAGTAAATCTTCTCAAAAACAAAGTTCAACATTGTCATTGCAATTAAAATGTCTAAAATGTTAAATGCTAAAATGAAGGTAAATGCAAACAAGCCCAATTAGAAGTGTGTAAGCGCATGTTCTTCCCATCACCAACAAAACGCATTATAAGCGTTGCAAACGAGTGCACATTGTGACAGACACAGTCAACTAATCCTAATCCAAGTTTTACCAGCACACAGTCTAGTAGTTACAGTAGCACAGAGGGACCCAGAAAACTGCAATCCAAATAGCCTCCCAGTGGAGGTCACAAACATCACACGCTAATTTGGAACTAATTTGGCCCGTCGTGAAATGTGCCGTTAATAAACTGAGCTAATCGTGTGGCTGTATGCAAGTTTCCTCCTCTTTTATCACCCCAATAAGGGCCATATGGTCTTAGGCTCAGATCAGTAATCAGTTTAGGCTTCAGTCTTTAACACACACTTCAATGACACGGGGTCATGCTCTGTCACGCAGCACAGGTGACAGGTGGGGCAGAAATTCTCCATTCCTTAGTCCTCGGCCAACCCTAAACTGAGCCATGTCTAAGCTCTCCTGATCCCTCAACATCACAGCCACTAACATCTCCACAGACATTCAGGCTGAAAGAAATTCATTGTGCCTGGAACATGTGAAGGTGCAATTGCCTTTATGTGTAGCTAAGTTTATGTGTAACTAACTAACAGTCAAGCATGGCGATAGGAATGTTAAAATCTAGGGCTGTCTTTCCACTGAATGGGGACTAACTAGCGAATGTGGTTAAAATTTGTGATGGAGAATGAAATGAGCGAATAATGAATGTGTTTTAGTTGGACATGGAAATCGGTCACCTTTTATTTTACAGTGTCATTGTTACTTAATGTTACATTATAATAGTAGTATTAAATTGTCCATAATTACATCCAACTCACCCTGAACCAAACGCTAACCTTAGGACTAACCTCAAGCATGGTGGAAAGAATGTCAAGGTATGCGGCTCTTTCTCCCTTTGAGGACTACATATGAATTAACTAACTGACTGACTACCCCCCAAACAACAAACTAACTAACTAGCCTATCTGGTGGAAGGAATGCCAGGATCTGGAGCTGACTTTCCCCTATTGAGAACTCCATACTAAATAAATTAAGTTTTATAAACTACTGTAAGTTCGGGAGGAGCGCGTTCAGATAATTAACACAAATGGACAGCACTCAGCAATCCATCCAGCAAGTCTTACCTGATCCACTGACAGTTTGCAGCATCCCCCCACTCCCTCTTCTCCACACTCCTAGTTCTAAAACACTTACATATGGGGGGAGTACTCTGGGTTCGGCTGAACTCCGAGCTCGGAGTCCTCCCTCCGGACACAGTACGCCAAATACGCATTAAATGTAAGTGTGAACTCATGAAACTAACCATCCAACAAACAAACAAGCCAACTAACTACAATAGTCAAGCATAGTAGAAGGAATATCAATCAATTTGGTGGAAGGAATGTCAAGATCTTGGGCTGCCTTTCCCTTCCTGACCTATGAGGACTACGTACGTTATGACTCTCAGGAAGCGTCCTCACTCCTCGACCCTTGCCTCGAGAAAAGCGAGGAGGGATATTGAGAAGCACCCCGTATCTATAGTTTTCTATAGACCTTTTTGACACAGTACCTGTTTGTGAAAAGTTCCTGGCTAACTGTTCCACTGACTAATTGGAACAGTGACACAATTTCACTGGGGCAATCTTCATGCTCATTTACTCAAGCAAACACTACTGTAACTGGCTTATCATGAGCTTTACTCATAAGGTTTAACCGACAGAGGTGAGAATGCATCTGGACCCTTTATATTCGATCACTTAAAACATAACAGCATATTTCTCTACATAGTTAACTAAAGCCTATGCAATAATTACCTTAGCATATTCAGCAAAAATACAATAGGCTGATGTGATGTATGGATGTTTCTAATACCTGATTAGGTAAAGGTAATTTGACTCATATGAAAGCTTGGAAAAATAAACTTCTCAAACTGGTTTTTCTACTTGATCAGATTTTATGGAAAATACCATAATGTTGTTGTTGTTGTCTTTTAGTGTTGATACACAGACACACAATAGCACAGGTTTACCGGATAAGGTCCAGTAGCGCATCAGCAGAGCTCATGATGGGCTTCCCGCTGTCCTCCGAGTCCTCCTTCTGGGCAGCTCCACCCGGGTGGATGATGATGACCATGACGATGCCCACCACCACAGCCACAAAGGTCGTCCACAGATAATAAGAAATTGTCATGATGCCCAGTCGACTGGAACATTTGGCATCCAGTGCTGCCAAGCCAGACATCAAACTGAGGAGAGAAAAACATTTTTTTAAGGAATACATCAAATTACTCTAAGTTGAATGCAGAGATGATTTTTTAAAAAAAAAATCTTTGAAATGCCATACATCTAAAATACCCACACCCAAAATATTGCAGTCGCTAATTGATGTCAGTCTGTCATTGAGTAAAATAATTAACATGAAGAAAAGAAAGAAGTGTGACCAAAAAGACCATTCTTTAAATATTTTTTGAATATTTGTGTTAAAATTAAATATATTTATTTACATTATTTTATTTTCTGTTATACATTTATTTGTTTGTAACACCAACATTACTGTCTCTTAATGACAATCTTAGTTTTCAGAAAGTTCAGAAAACAGCCCAACTTAACCAGGGCTCAGTCTTTCAGGTTTTGGGGAACAGTCATTGTTCAAAAATCAAGTGCAAAGATGACACAAATAAGATAATATATTGTATCATGTACCTCCATAGCTGAAAGAAACAGGCAAAGCTTAAAATCGATGTTGCCATCACTGATTCTATTAATCTTTTAGGGGTTTTTGCCATTCCTGAATTTTTTTGTCTATCATTACGGTCTCTCCCTCCCATCCAAGTCGATTCTGCACAGCTTTGATGGGCCTTTCACGGCAGTCTAGAAGGCGTTGTAGGTAATGCCCCATTTCCTACAGCAGCAGCGTAGCAGATCTATTACGCCAACACCAAACATGTCAACATTGTGATATCCATTACCACGCCAAACACTCCAAGAGCTGTCATGAAATATAGTTTTTAATTTTTTATCATGATTTTTAATGATTTTTTTTTTTAAATCTGCAAATAATCATGAGATTGATGTGCAAATCACTAATCACTGAAGCAAATGTCTCATGAAATAATTCTCATTGCCCACAAATGATTCAAAATTAACTTGAAAAAAACTGAATTAAACATTTGTCAGGAAGTACATAAAAGCAGCACCTAACTGTCACTAACCGTAACGATGGATGTAATGATCAATAAACTATTAAAATGCATGGCCAAGCAACAATTTATGCTAAAAATTAAAGATAAACAAAATATTCTAGTGTTATTATTATTGTAGATATAATTTTTTAAGCCTAAATGGCAATTGAAACATAAAAAAGTATTCATCAAATTCAATTCAGATTTAATCATCAAATATTGCTGGAACGTGGCTTAACATTGGACATAAAAAAAAAACAACAAACACAAAGGGAGCATTTCGTCTCCTCGCCACCATATGCCACTGAAGAGAATGCATTTTAAAATTAAAAGAAAAAGGACAAAAAATAAAAAAATGCACATTTCAGCTTTTAGGAGCACAATTCTAAAAAATCTCATCAATCTGCCACCATGTGAGATTCAGCTGAGCTGAAAAAAAGACATGCCGTAATCTTGCAAAAGGTCAATTGATTTTCACCATATGCAATCATTGCGCAATGACATCAGCATCCAACATGAAAATTGAAAAGATGTCTTAAAGCAGACTTTTTTTTTGTTTAAGAGGATTATCTGTCCTGCATTAAGTCTATGTATTTAAATGTAAACTCTGAATGACAGGAAACTGATTGGGACTCAAAAAGTGCCATGTTATCAACGGCAATAGTGCAACATTTAAAGCATCTATCCTGCAGTTGCCTATAGAGCTATAAACTTCATTCAGAACAACGTGCATGCCATATGGTGACCTTTTGAAACTGTCCTGCGGCCCTACGGTTGCATAGCCATTGATCAAAGATCAGATTCGTACTGAAATGCACACAGGGATAATGAGAAACTGCACGGTTGCCTTTGATTGTAGTGCGCTCATCAGATAATCTGGTTTCCGCATCTTGCCTGTAGGCAGATGGCGTTGAAACGAGGACAGTACACAGACCGTGCTTTGGGCCTAAGCCCTAGAATACCATTTGATAAATATGTCAGTTTCGTTCATTTTAAACCAACCATGACATTGGAAGACCCCTTGAACTGCATCTTGAATCTGCAATGTTGTAAGTGAAGAGAACCAGTTTCTAACAAATATGTCATTCTGCTTTTCATTCTTAATTCGGTTTGCCGCTTACTACAGTTCAAGCTCTAGCATTTAGGTCAACGTTAACTTGTTTATAAATAGCCATTGGCCATTTTGCATTTGGAAGTGCCTGGGTCTTGGCTACTGTGCATGTGCAGTTGGTCCTTAGCTTCCTCAGATTAGAGGTAATTAACAAACCTGATCCATAATGACTCCCTGGAGTGTGTGTATGTTCACTGGTCATCTGGAACACTGACCCAGACAGAAGTGTGTGTGTGTGTGTGTGTGTGTGTGTGTGGAATAAGGATCAACTTCCTCTCAAGACTTTGCTTCACCGGAAGTTCACGTTCAGCATGTGATCATTTGGTTTGAATGGTTTTATTCCATCTTTGGGGTTGCAAGTTATAAATCTTTCACAGGCAGCATGTGAATTGTGGTTGTTAAATCCTTACCTATACTGGCAGTTGACCCACCGTTCACTTAATTTATGTTTTATTGGGTTAGTTGGGACCAATATCCCAACTAAATTCAACACCCTTGCGTAGAATTGAGTCACATGGACCACTTTATGTTAATTAACTTATTTTGACAGTATAAATTACTTTCATTGTCACCTCGGACATTCTGAAAAAAATATGTTGTGTTCCATAGAAGAATGAAATTCATAGAGTTTTGAATAACATGAGAGAGTTAATGATGACTGAAAGTAATTTTTTAGGGGTGTAAGGTGGTCAACTTTATAATGCAAATGGACTGTGCACATTTGTTTTAAACACTTACCTAATGTTCTTACTCCATGCATTAAATGCACATGCTTGAAAGAGAGCAGTTTTCTAGCATATTTGCTTTAACTTCTCAGGTAATGTGTTCAGATGCAGCCAAAATTACAACAATGGTTACATATAAATATACAATTATTTGATCAAAACAATCCTAGTGACAATTCAGTTGCCAATAGATATTGAACTTAAAAAAATGATATGTTGGCTTTAATTCACTTTTTATGTCAACGGGTTCCACATAACTGGGTTACGTTAAACAAACATAATTTGTTCATGTAACTTCAACATCATGGAATTAAGTCATTTTAAGCGACCCTCTGAGCAGAGTGTTAAATGAACCCTAAAGCAGTGTTGAAGTTAATGAGATAATTAAGTGAATAATTGAGTGATGATTGAGCATTATTGAAGACACCTGATGTTAACAAGCAGAATCACTGAAGGACAAAACCAGAATTTTAAGTCACCAGTTTGTTTTAGTTGGGCTCTTGACCATTAAATCATTATCTTTAGGTTTTGTTTGGCTGCTGTCCATGAGTTATAACAGCCAGATGAACAAATAGTAAAGGTGATCTGATGGTGTTAGTTGTGTTTTAACATAATCGTTATTTTACATTTATTTGGCCTAAATTGCTGAACTCATTTAGAGCCAAATTTCATATAGAGTTAAATTTACCTTATGGATTATAGCAGCACTCATACCTTTTTAGCCTTTTTTTGTAACATGATATGGAAGCACACACAGACATCACAATTTAGTGAATGAGTCTCAGCAATGGTGGCAAACAGATCACCTCTGAACATAACCTCATTATTTATTCATGCAGCAATACATGATGGGATCCATGAATGAGTTTTTATTGGTGGCACCCATGCACTGCAACATGCTTTGTAATTGTCACCATTGTTGAGATTCACAGGCTTATTCTTGATGTCTTTGTGAGCCTACATAAAATAAATATTTTTTAAGATGTTTCTTCTTTTAACTGATTTGATCATTTGGATTTCTTTGAGAATGCTAAAAATTGTATGCTCTACAATGACAGTGCTGCTATAATCCATAAGATAAACTTAACTTAGAAATTGGGTGCTATATGAGTTCAGTGATTCAGGTCAAATGATTGATAAATACGATTATGTTAAAACACAACCAACACCATCAGATCACTACTATTTGTTCATTTGGATGTTATAACTCATATACAGCAGCCAAACAAAACCTAAAGTTAATGATTTAATGATCAAGAGCCCAACTAAAACACACACTGATCCCCATAATGGAAATTCCGGTTTTCTCCTTCAGTGATTCTGCTTGTTAACATCAGGTGTGTTCAATAATGCTCAATTATCACTTAATTATTCACTTAATTATCTCATTAACTTCAACACTGATTTAGTGTTCATTTAACACTCTGCTCAGAGGGTCGCTTAAAATGACTTAATTCCATGATATGAAGTTACACGAACAAATTATGTTTGTTTAACGTAACAAAGTTATGTGGAACCCATTGACATAAAAAAGTTATTTAAAGCCAACATATCATTTTTTTGAGTTTCAACACTGAAATAAGAGCATTTTAATATTAAAACTCAGCCTCTCCATACATTGTATACGTACTCCGATGCTGATGTATGAAAGATGTGGACAATTGCACCATGGACATGCTAAAGTTAAAGGGATAGTGAAAATTCTGTCATCATTTACTCATCCTCATGTCATTGACGTAATATTTTCATTCATCTCTGTGAAAACACAAATGAAGATATTTTTGATTAAATCCGAGAGAATTCTGTCTCTCCATTGACAGCTATGCAACTGACTCTTTGATGCTTCAAAAAGTTCACTAATCCATTTAGTCCCAGGAATAGAAAGCTCTCAGATTTCATCAAAAATATCACACACACAAAAAAAAAATAGTTATTTCAAGAACTGTTCACTGAATGGTTCTTTGGGGAACCAAAAATGGTTCTTCTGTGGCATTGCATAGAAATCCCCCTTTTGGAACCTTTATTTCTAGGAGTACATATTTGAAAGGGCATATGTGCATAATAATCATTTATATTTTGCTCTGTATCCACCAATCCTGTTTGGATTCAGGGGAATTGGAATATACCGTCGGCACAAGGTACTTTATGGTGCTCATTCATTGTATGGAACAAATCAGATGCTCTGCAAAAATAGCTTTTTGTATGTGTGTTCCACATAAGAAAACAATATGGTTAACATCTGAAAAAATTCCTACAGTTTAAACAGTAGAGCATAGCACTCGCAACGTAAAGGTCAAATTCCTAGTGGAGTTGTATAAAAAATGTATATCTTGAATGCAATGTCCTTTTGGACAAAAGTTTTCAAGATATACATTTTATCTAGTTAAATAACCAAAGTTATTTCGGATAAGCGTCTGCCATATGTAAATTTACAATGGGAAGATTGATTCTGACTTATAATATTGTATATTTATCCTCATATAGATCCTAAGTGTAAGTGAAAATCGCTAGTGTTTATATATATATATATTTGCATTCAAATTGATATGCATCAGAAGCTCTAAACAATGAACATTCATTATTATGGATCTATTAGTTTATTGAAATTATTATTTGTTAAGTGCCTGTTTGAGCATATTAAATGTTAAAATTATGGCTTTTAACGATGGCTATAAATCGTCAATTTCATCCTTAGAAATGTTCCATTTATTTAAAGGAGGGGTTGATTGTGATCTCATTTTTTTCATTTTAATTAGTGTGTAATGTTGCTGTTGGTGCATGAACAGTATCTGCAAAGTTGCAGCGCTGAAAGTTCAGTGTAAGCATATCGTCTTTTAAAAATCAGGAAGTATAATGCCTACAAAAACGACTTGATTGGGACTACAGCTGGGTTTTAGACGTCACTAACCCACACATGCATCAACCCTCCTTCCGGAAAATGCAAAAAAAAGTGCATGCGCTTATTTCTGCGGCTCGTCGAGTGTTTTGTGTTCACCCAGCTGTCAGGTCGTCTGTGTTCGAGCTTCCCACGGCCGCTGTACTTCGTCAACAATGGATACAATTTATGTTTGATTATGTTCCTGAAAATGACGATCGTATTTTAGCTCTCTGTGCTGCGCATTTTACGGAAGACAGCTTCCAGAATCTCCACGAGTTCAATGCCGGATTCAACAAGAAACTGTTACTAAAACATGAAGCAGATCCGACTTTAAAACCAGAGGCAGCAGTTGTTGGGCCACAACCTGTAAGTACGCTGAGACTTAATCATTTTAAATGTATTTGCATGTATAATTCCAGACGTAGCCTTGTGTTTTATTTTTTTTCAAATGCCAGCTCTGGCTTTATAGCCACTAGGCTACTAGTTATGCTATTTTGTGTCTTCTACAAATGTGTACAAACATTATGGACCTCAATTTTGTATAAGTACTAATGTTTTAAATGTATTTTTCATGTATATATGCTTTATGACGTTATTTTCGATTTGGTCAAGAACGTAAACTAATGCCAACGCTGTTTGCGTATAACATTAGTAGCCAGTCAGTTGCTATTGTTGCCAGTCAGATGCTATTGTGTTAAACAAACGTGTATAAAGTTAAAAAATTGAGCAAATTATCATTCAGAAACGTTTAGCAAGAGCCGTGTGTGGTGAGGTTCTGTTTGACTGTCTTTATCGCCGCTTTCTCGCCGTTTTCTCGGTTTGATTCTGCTTCAAACTGATACTGTAGTATCGACATGAATGGACCGGAGCGCAGGCACATTTCGCCCGTAAAGGTAATGGGCGTTAACCTTCTGGACAACGTGAGCGACAGTTTAGCCAATCACAACACACCGGGCCAAACTAACCAATCTGAGCTCACTGCCTGTTTCTGAGGGGGTGGTTTCATAGACTCAGGAAGTTAACCGCTCGTTCGAGGACATAAGAGAACGCGGCTGACAATAAAGGTGAAGTTTATGAAAAATAAGACGTTTAAAAAAAGAAAAATGAATACATGTTATATTGCACCCCATAAACACAATCATGCTAAGAAAAAAAGCAGTCAACCCCCCCTTTAATAGAAGTATCGGTATTGGTATTATTCTTATTGACAACACTGGTAACTTTATTGGCTTTTGACACTTGGTAAATATGGTTGTTGACATGTGACATGGTTATGGGATTGGGTTTGGCATATGTGTTATCTTTGACAAAAGTTTACCATTATAAACTAATTCTAAACACAAACTTCATGCTATATCATTTCAGAAACAGGAGATGCTTATCTCACTTGATTGTATCAGATTTGTAGTGACTGACAGCTAAGTTATTCATGTAAAAAATGTTGGAAAAGGGAACTCTTACCTAGAAACCACTAGTGGCAGGATGAGCATCTTTAACATCCGCATCAGCAACTCCCCAGGGAACTGGAAGTACTTCACCTCCTTTGGAAAAAACACAGAACATCTGCTTTGATGCACTGTTCAGATGTGCTTTGATACTGAGTTGAGTCCCACAAAGTGGAGCGAGAAATATTCTCCAATCCTTGACTTTAAACTGTCTTATGCAGATTGAAAATAATCTTTAATATACTCCGGTTCTAAGTCAAACAATTCAGCAATTTAATTTATTTTTAGATCTGAGGGGAAGGGTGTGAATTTACACAGACAAACTGAGTCATTTATTTTCAAATATGCCCAAAAATAAGTGCTGAATGCAATTTACCCTATACTTTACTGGGACCGACGTGCTCTTATTGCTGTACTCCACACATCTTGACATGTACAATCATTTCACTCCACCAAGACATTTGCAAATAAATCACTGTCATGTTATCTTGCATTCAGATGCTGTTGTTTGGGGACGCAATCATGTGAGAAACTTCTGAAAGGTCATTCCAACCATTGAGCTCAAGCATTTCATAAAGATCAAACCAACATTTCAGATGCTGTGCAATCATATCCAATCCTGGGACATGGTGATGGAAAAAAATATGAGATGGGAAATGAAAAATTAAATTTAAATGCTTTTGCGTTCTCTCACAAAAGTTTTGCCTTTCCCAGAGAAACTGCGTTTGCCTGTTTAGTAGTCTTAAATTTAGTTCATGAAAATACATTGCTCTTATAATATTAATGTATTTATTGTCCAATAATTGTTATGTCTTTGAGACAGCACTATTAAAAAAAAAAAACAACTACTGCCCAAGGAAATTAAGTTGCTTAAGAAGAGCCCTTAAGCAAGAGCAAGACTTATTGAAGACCACATTTTGTTGAAGGAAGCTGAGAGACATGATGCTGGTGTTAAAGCGCTTAAAGGCCTGCATTAAGGAGGGGGCAGGGACATGTGAAGCTTAGATCAGGGCTGTTGTCCAAGCAGCATCAGGATCAATGCTGACAAATGGCTGTGAATCTCTGGCATTCCTTTGCTACTTGCTAATGCTAACCTAAAAACAGCTGGCATGGAGCCGCTACATCTGCCATTGGCATTCCTGACTTGGGCCATGAAAAGTCTGAAAAAGCTTCCATGTGGCGTAATCTAAACAGGGCTAATTGCTAAACATTGGTGTAATGGCTGATCGAAAATAGTGAAACACTGCAACTATTAAACAATCAGTTGCTAAAATCATTTTATTACTGTGGATAATGGGTTGGTTAAGTTAAGTGGTTGTTAAAGCAGTCACTCATCTCAACCTAAAGCTAGCTTGTTCAACGTCTGTAATTGTTTAGGAAGATACTGGATGCAATAGCTTGAATGTACCGTAAGTGACTCAATTTAACATACTGCAAATGTACCCTCAATCTGGAATCAGTTTATATTCCTTCATTAAAAGTAACGCTAGCTAAAGCTAAAACAGCTCCACCTTTTTCAAGAAGACTGCATATTCTATTGATCATGAGGTAACCTAACTTCATTATAGGACTAGCGAGAAATGTTCAACTCGAGATGAATGAGAAGATGTGATGAGATTTTCAACTTCAAATCCTCAATGCAATAACAGTTCAGTTGATTGACTGGTAATCCCTCAGCAGAACTAGATGTTTGGTCATAATGACAGAGCTTTGAGGGAACACATCTCACTTAACCAATGAATCAACTAACGATATGAAAAGACAATACTAGACAGAATATTGTACAGTTGTATAGAAAATGTATCATTTTTTTTAGGTCAAGTTAAAGATCTCTTAGAGGTCTCAAATTGATCAAATATTAAGATGTTACTTCTCACAGGTATATTATGCAAGGATTGAGACGGTGATCAATGCCAATAGTGAGTGTCTGTTTTAAAATATATTTTAAAACACTTTGCCAAGTTTTTGAAATGCGCTTTTTGTATTTATGTTGGTTTTATTTGGTTGTGAAAAACTTTTATGGCATTTTCAACAAAAGTTTCCATTTATGGTGTAGGCTCAAGTAAAAGAAAAAAAAAGCATGTAGGCTATAACTTGAATACAACTGATTTTTTTAACCAAAGTTTTTAAATTTATACTGGATATATATTTACAACTGGAACCGGAAAAGGTATTATATGATTTTTGAGAGGTATTGACCTTGACACACAGTAATGATATTATTTACTATTTTTTTTAGCATGTTGGTTGCCCCACATGACTGATTTGGTGGACAAAAGTAATAAAAGAAATAATAATAATTATAAGAAGTGAAGCAATTTTGGAGAATATATATATTTAATGATATTTATTTAATGTAATGAATATATTTAATGATGCCAATAAAGAATCTTTATTTTTTCAGAGTGTGTGTCAGATGGCAGGACATTTGGGTCATTTCAGGGAAGACAGGGAAACTGTTCTTGGTAAGGGTTACACCAGGTATGGGAAACCAAAACTAACCTGCTCAGAGAGGTGTTTGGCGCGCAGGAAGAATCCCAGCAGGCATCCGATGACCACGGCCAAGACCGACAAGATGAGTAGGCCGTTCTGTTGGCACACATTTTTAACGCGGCTCCACACCGCACCCAACGCCATGGTGACCTGTCCACTTCCCACTCAATCAGCCATACAAACACCCTTTTATACCCGAATGCACAAACCTTCCGAGGGGGAAAAGAAACATGCAGAGAAAGAAGCAGTAGGAAGGTAGAGCAGCTTGTAGAAAAGGTGATAATGAAGGTCCTTCTAAGAAAAAGCACTTGTCAATCCACCGTTGGTCACTACTAAAGCCCATCACCCTTTCCGGTCACTAACACACTCTCCTTCTGTCTCTCTCTCTCTCTCTTCGTTCTGCCCCACCACACCCTCTTACCCTGTACTTCAGCATGGCCAATAGGGGGCTCTGGGACAGCTGGCGGTATTGTCCCAGAGGTTAATACCAGCGATCCTATTAGAGCCGCACTGCATTAAGCCGATCTGAAGATGGATTAAAGATCTCTGAACAATTGGAATGGGGATTTCTTCATGTATGTGTGAAAGAAGAAAAATAACACAGGACAAAAACATAAAGATGAAGCATCTGACATGACCCAGTGTAGATGTCAAACAGTGGGGGGTTTAGACAGAGATGGCCAACGTGGACACGGTTTGCTGTGGCTCTGCTAGTGTTAGCTGGTGTGTGTTTGTCAGTGTGCTTTTTCACCCTTCAGTGGATGATGGAATATCTAACGCCTTTATCTCAGTCTGCATTATCTCATATGCTAGGGTCATTTTTAATGCCAATCTCACCACCTGATCTTGGTTCAGGGGAAATACATGGAAGGGTTATTAATAAATGCCTCAAATTAATAGTAGTAAGGTAGGCTTATAAATTCTACAATTCTGTAAAAAATGGTACTGTCCAATATGATATATGGATTTTATTAAATATGGACTATTCTGTATAATTCTGTAACAAGTATACAATTATTTAATCAAAATATTTTTTTTCATTTCTGTTTAATTGTCATTAAAATAAATAATTTTAACAACCCCAAAAGTTGGTTATAGCGTAACCTCAGTTCTCTCTAGAAGAGGGAACGAGTTCTGTATAATATCTTAAAGGGTTAGTTCACCCAAAAATGAAAATTAAGTCATTAATTACTCACCCCCATGCTGTACCAACCCCATAAGACCTTCGTTCATCTTCGGAACACAAATAAAGATATTTTTGATTGAATCTGAGGGCTGGATCACTCTTCCATAGACAGCCTGAGGGACTGCCTCTTGACGGCCCAGAAAGTCATTAAAAGAAAAGGTTTAAATATTCCATGTGCCTACAGTGGCTCAACTATAACTTTATCAAGTGACGAGACTACTTTTTGTGCGAAAAAAAACGTAAATAACGACTTTATTCGACTTTCCATTACTTCCTTATGGGCGCATGCGCGAGAACTGAGACGAGACCGTTCTTCTTCGACTACTTTTGTTACCGGCTGCTCACCGCTTAGGAGTTTTACCGCCCCCTACCGTATAAGATGACGTACTGCTTGTAAACAGAACGTTTTGCGCCTCCGGCTATATCAGTACGTCATCTTATACGGTAGGGGGCGGTAAAACTCCTAAGCGGTGAGCAGCCGGTAACAAAAAGTAGTCGAAGAAGAACGGTATCGTCTCAGTTCTCGCGCATGCGCCCATAAGGAAGTAATGGAAAGTCGAATAAAGTCGTTATTTACGTTTTTTTCGCACAAAAAGTAGTCTCGTCACTTGATAAAGTTATAGTTGAGCCACTGTAGGCACATGGAATATTTAAACCTTTTCTTTTAATGACTTTCTGGGCCGTCAAGAGGCAGTCCCTCATGCTGTCTATGGAAGAGTGATCCAGCCCTCAGATTCAATCAAAAATATCTTTATTTGTGTTCCGAAGATGAACGAAGGTCTTATGGGGTTGGTACAGCATGGGGGTGAGTAATTAATGACTTAATTTTCATTTTTGGGTGAACTAACCCTTTAAGCTAGGGGAAAACCTCTTTTCCACAAGATATTGAAGCTAAAAATTATCCTTAATTTTGAAGTAATGTAAAACGCGTTGCGGCAGCATGCAGACATAGGTAATGCGGTTTGTGTCCTCATCCTATTGGCTGTCCTGCGGCAACTGCAGCAGCCTATTGAGAGAGGCCCTTGATGTCGTCAGATCCAATGCGGGCGCTTGGCGCCCACTACGTCACCTCCCAAAGCTGGCATGGCCTAGGCCAATAAATATAGCTCAATGGGCTGATATAATCTGTTTTTTTCATCGCTGAAGTGAACCAGAGCGTGTTGCAGGCACAGCAAAGATGCGTAGTACTCGTTCCCTCTTCTAGAGAGAACTGAGGTTATGTTAGTAACCAAGTACGTTCTCTTACGAGAGGTTCTCTCGTAATGCGTAATATCTTATGCTAGGGGAACACAGTGTAAAATGCCAAGTGTGCTGGGATCCAACACCAAAGTCCTAAGGGCAGGTGCCCGGGGCTCATATAGTGCATAATCACCAGGGACTCACAAAGAGTCTGAGAAGAGAGGCTAGAAACGTCATTCCCAATAAGTTAGCAATCTAAGGGAGCTAATCACATCAACAGTGTTCCACACAGTCAGCGTGAAATTGTTCGGTAGCTATTGTAACGGTAGCTATGGGTCTTACTTTTGCTCATGGAGTAATTTTATCGATCAGCGAGCAGTGCTCAAGCGATTGTAGTATATTGAGCCGATGCAAAGGTGCAGGCAATACTGATTTTAGACCGAAAGTAGTTTAGCCTGTAAGGCGGGAACCTCTACGTCATAAAACCTTATAAATGTAGACAAGGAGGCCCAGCCGGCTGCCATACAGATATCCTGCAAGGTAATGCCATTAGACCAAGCCCACGACGAGCTCATCACCTAAAGGACACTTCAAGCCTTTAGAAGTGCATGCCAGCACTATGGCATCAACTATTCATCTGGATAGGCTCTGTTTCGATGTGGCTTGTCCCTTATCACGACCGCTGAACAAAACGAAGAGCTGCTCAGTCTCTCTGTAAGCAGAATGAGTGAGACACATAAACTCTTAATGCCTTGAATGGAAAAAGGAAGCTTGTGTCTTTCTCCTCATTCTAAACAGGTAGGGCAGCCAGGAAAATAACCTGGGCCCTGAACGGTGTGTTGAGGGGTGTAGGCAAGAGTCATTAGAAACACTGTCTTGAATGACAGATGTTTTATGTCTGACAAATGGATTGGCTTGAACTTTCCAAAACTGTGGAAAGGTCCCACATGGGGACTGAGGGGGGTCTGGGAGGATTCAGCCTCTTAGCTCCTTTAAGGAAGTGGATAACCAGATAGTTCTTCCCCAGTGACTGGCCAGTCGCTGGTTTTGTAAACACTGCTATGGCCGCCACATAAACTTTGAGCGTGGATGGGGTTCTGTCCTTATCCAGTATCTCTGGAAGGAAGGAGAGGACTTCCGTAACCCCGCAGTCTAGGGGTGAAAAGACTTTCCATCAGCCAGAAAACCTAGACCATTTTGAGGAGTAGAGTCATCTAGTAGACGGCGCTCTAGGCTACGTGATCATGTTTAACACTCCCTCCGGGAGAATTGCGGGTACCCATTAATGACCCATGTGTGCAGGGTCTACAGCTCCGGACGAGAATGCCAAATCGAGCCCTTGGCCTGAGAGAGGAGGTCTTTCCTCGTGTGGACAACCACAAGTATCACAGAGCATCCATTTTCCGTTATTAGTCCCAATACTTGAGGCAGGAGCGAGCTGGGGGTAAAAGCATAGTTTGGGTAGCGGGCCAGACGTGGGCCAGCACATCCCTGCTCTTGAAGAAAAATTGCATACAGTGAGCATTTTCTTGGGACGCAAACAGGTCTACCCGCATTCTGCTGAATGTCTCCCACAGCAGTAGGACCGCCTGCGGGTGCAGACACCATTCTCCTGCTGGAACATTGTTTCTGGACAGTCTGTCTGGTCCCAAATTCAGGTGACCAGGCACATGTTCTGCTCTCAATGAGCGCCGATTGTGCTGAGCCCAGACCAGTGGTGACACGCGAGTGAGATCGTGGTCTCTGGCCCCGCGAGACAGGGGTTGCTGCAATTGCTGGGGGTTGCTGCAATTGCCGGGGGTGCTGCGGCCGGCAGAGCGAGAGCATGGTCTCTGGTCCCGGGCTTGACGGTGCTGTGAAGCATCGGCGGGCAGAGGCCACGGCTTGGAGCTTGGAGAAGACGGCTGTTTTGGGCGCTCTGCTGCAAAGCTAGAGGGCTTTAAGAAGTGCTTCATCTCTCAGCAACTGTGAGAGAAGCCATGTTCCGTCCAATGGCCTGTGGGCGCCACCCACTCAAGGCCGAAGCTCACCACAGCCTGTGAGAGTAGACGCATCAGTTGGGATTTGATGCTAGACTGTTTCCCTGACGACTTGCGGGCAGAATGGGGGAGGTCCACAGAGCTCACCCAATCCTCACTGTCCGGCACCAGGATAGAGCAGCTGGCCTTCTCTACAGATGCAGCTATCTCGTCGACATTAATAGCGGAAGCGGTAGCGAACGGCGGCCATTGTTCGTCAGTGAGCGACTCGAGTGAATCTGGTGAAGCTGGCGGGCGAACCGGCGAGCTTTCACGGACTGTAGAAGGCTTGCGACCCGTGGAGTATGGCGCTTTTACGGCGCGGCACTGTAGCGGGCGGAAGTACAGACTCAAAAAATGCCAGGCGAGTAAAAATTGCCAAATGCCACCGTCAGTGAGTGCGAAAGCTGCATGATCCTTACATAGGCAGGAAACATAGATGAAATTGCGGTCCCCGTTGTAGTCTTGCTTTGTTTAGTAAACGAAAACCAACATACACAGGAAGAGTTGTTCTCGAACTTGCGGTTTATTCTTTGTTTCCGCTTTTTCTTTTTTTTATCACGTGATCATAAACGTTCTTACATCACAGTCTGATGTTAAACAGAAAACATGGATCAGAAGTTGCACGTAAACACTACATTCCTCCCTTATTCAAAATGAAGATGTAACTATAGCATAAAATTTCAAAGTATGGCACATTGTGTACAGTAGAATCAAAACGAAAATGAAAAAACGAACTAAGATTAAGGTCCCAAGAACAGTTAGCAAAATAAAATGAATACTTGTGGACCATTGTTTGAATCATGTTTAAAACAACATTTTACATTTCCTCAATCAAAAATCTTGGTGCCCTGCGATATGGTCTCGGGTCGTAATGTGGTGTTAATCTTTCTTCCGAACAGTAGTTCTGCTGGAGGCTTTTGGGTGGTCCCATGTGGTGTTGCTCTGTAATTTCTTAGGAAACTATACAGGCACTGCTTCCAAGGTT